GTCTCCTCCCCTCCTCCCCCTCCTCTCTTTCTCTCCCTGTCCTTTCCTCCCGTCGCCCCTCCCTCTTCCCCAATCCAACGCTTCCTGCCTAGGTTCGTGGCTGAGACATCCGGCCTGCGCAACATCTGTTCCGGTTGGTGAGAGAGAGAGAGAGAGAGAGAGAGAGAGAGAGCAGAGAGAGAGAGAGAGAGAGAAGAGAGAGAGAGAGAGAGAGAGAGAATAGAGAGCGAGAGAGAGAGAGAGAGAGAGAGAGAGAGAGAAGAGAGAGGAGAGAGAGAGAGAGAGAGAGAGAGAGGAAGAGAGAGAGAGAGAGAGGAAGAGAGATGAGAAGAGAGGAAGAGAGAGGGAGAGAGAGGAGAGAGAGGAGAGAGAGAGAGAGAAGCCGAGAGAGAGAGAGAGAGAGAGAGAGAGAGAGAGAGAGAGAGAGAGCAGAAGAGAGAGGAAGAAGAGATGAGAGAGAGAGAGAGAGAGAGAAGAATAGAACAAAAGAAAGAAAAGAAAAGAAAGAAAGAAAGAAAGAAAGAAAAAAAAGAAAGAAAGAAAGAAAGAAAGAAAGAAGAAGAAAGAAAGACAGAGAAAGAGAGCAAAGATAGTGAAGAGAGAAAGAGAGAGAGAGAAAGAGAAAGGAGAGAAGAGTGAAGAAAAGCGAGAGGAGAGAGGGAGGAGAGAGGGAGATACGCGCCCACAAAAATCTACAACGCCCATACCCTGCACCTGCGCGCCGTTACACCTGTTTTCCCGTTAGTCTAAGGGAGAGGAAGGAGGAGGAGGGAGAGGGAGGGGGGGAGGGAGGGGGGGGAGAGGGGGTGGAGGAGGGGGTTTCTTATGAATAAATTTCGTATTTTTTTTTTTTTTTCGTTTTTTAGTCTCTTGTTTAATCTCACTGTTTTTTTCCGTTTCTCTTTGTTTTCTTTCGTTTTTTTTTCTTCAAATTTAATATTTCAAGACCACTTACTCCTTTATCTATTTTTGATTCGCGTTCGCACGACTTTATTTTAATTTTACTTGAACTTGAACTCAACTAATCTATTTCCCAATCCCACGATTTTAAATATAATCCAGTAAATACAATTTAAAAATCATTACCACCAAAAATCGCCCAAGACTGTTGGGACACACACACAAAATATTAATAAGATAATCAACAAGAATAACAATAATAATGATAAATAATATAATAATAATAATAATAATTAATAATAAAATAATAATAATAATCAATAGTAATAAATATAATAAATAACATTAATACACATACAAATAATAACAATAATACAAAATAATAATCAATATAACAATAATACTAAGACCAACAACAAGAGCAATAATAATTAATAATAATAATAACAATATAACAATGATAATAATAATAACAATAATAATAATCACAATAACAAACAACAACAAGAGCAATAATATTAATAATAATAATAATAAATAGAACGATAATGTAATGATACCATTAATAATAATAAAATAATAATAATAAATAATAATAATAATATAATTATGATGACAATAATAACACCAACAACAAGAATAGAACAATAATACTATAACAACAATAATAATGAATAAATAATAATAATAATAATAATAACAATAATTAATGATAATAATAATAATAATAATAATAATATAATAATAA